AGGGTTCAGAGATCACTGAAATTTAATATCGCTAAAAATGTATTGGTTAGAAGTTGCTAGAGCTTCTTAAGTGAGCATTTCAAATTCGCTACAATTGTTTCTCGCTAAAATTTAAATATAAATTTTTAAGGTCAAATCGCTAAATTTGCGTCTCGCTAAAATTTCACTTACACGGAAACTTTATACTTTTTTTGAACATATTTTATTAATAAAATCATAAGGATGGGAAACAAGTTCTGTACAACTAACTATACGTTCCCCTTCTTTTTATTAAAACATGTCATGCAAAATTAAATAAAAGTAATACAATTGAACCAAGGAAAAAACAATAAATTACAATATAAAGTAACTACATATAGAGCATCTATGTATTGTCAATTTTAAGAACAGCAGCAAAATGCTAATTTTTTTTTAATTTGTAAATGCAAATAAATATCACCACATAATTGTAGATTTGTATCAATAGAAACCAATTCAATCATTTACAAAGGATTAAAAAGAGTACTTCTAGCATTAGAATAATTGATACATGTTTTTAAAAAAAATGGTTTACATCATTCTTCATTTTTACCACATAAACATAATCATGATAATGGACTATTTTTAATGTTCCGTTAATATAGATCATGGTATGAATGATATATGTGCATCGTTTAGCAAAAGAAAAGTATATTGGTGGATAATCAATATTGTTATCAAGTTTTTTTCGGAGTGTTGTGAATGAGATGGCTTCTCTGATCTATGATTTTAATATTAAGTTCCATTGTTTATTTAGATACGAATGAGTTTAATCTTAATAGTTCTAATTTACACCTTGGAACAATATTACCTTGTTTGTTACGCTTATTATATATGGATACATGTTTAGGATCATGAGGGACAATTATAATAATTAAAACCACTTATTGATGTACGTATATGTAAAAGTATACCCAGAGCCATTGTTTGTTTCACTTTACATTATTTTTCAGAGACAAGACTTCAACACTTAGTGCAGTTTTTATCGATTCTTTTTTTTAAAAAAATATAGAGTTATTAAAAAAATGATATGCATCAATCATTAGCCAGTGATTGAGTTTCACTTTATCACGAATTATAATAAAAGTTGAATAAAGCTACTGTATCGTCCATTCGTCGTCGTATTAAAAAATGGTCGTAAAACAATCAATCAGCATTTCAATTTCTTGTTCCTTCTGTGAAGTTACGTTTCATAATTGTTCATTTTTCACAGATAAAGTTTGACTCATACCAACAAGGAGCATCGACCCAGCTCTTGAGCTTCAATTTCAGCAAAAAACAGTTTTCTCTGTGCTCTCCGTTTGGTTCACGGAGATGTAAATGCCAGTCCGTGTAAATCATTCTACTCTTATCATGGTGCCAATACCACGTGCCCTCTGACCCTTCATCTGACCCATCATTCCACCAATCGTCACCTGAGGAGTTAAACAGTTATGCATTTCAATGTTTTCAGAATGAATACATGCATATTCATATTAAATATTAAATAGAATTAATATTAATTATACAAATTTTTAGTCCGTTATTTTACATTGACTTGACAACGGATTTTTCCATTATCCCCCGAATATGACAAGGAACACAAGGCGGGCTTGACCGGTCGGCGGGGGATGCCCACTCCTCAAGGGATCTGATTCCATCTCTGAACTTTTGGAAGTCAGTATTTGTTCTACTCTTATGTTGTATTGTTTTGAGCTTTTGAGCTTGAATATACCGTTCGTTTTCTCACAACACCGGGTATTTCATTTCAAAATTAAAGAAGAAATATTTATTGCAGTAATTTATATATTTTTGAGATATCGACTGTTTCATGGGCATTCCATCGATACCATATGTACGTATATTGATCAACAAAACATTTATTCAAGTTTCGATCACTTTAATAAAGAAAATACTGAAGAAATTATCAGTGTTATGATTTTTTGCAGTGTTATGTAATAATTAAAGTGATTGCCTACTGATTAGTATAAGTCAGCAGGAGCTTATAATTCGTCTTTCAGCAAATAATTATATTTTACAAAATAATCACCTTCATTCTTGTGATTGATGCGATCAAAAATCCAATTGTTTTCTTGTTTGCTTTCTATTGCCACGAGGTGAGCATCCATGGAATCACGAAAGCTCTGAATTGTAAGTAATTAAAAAAAATATTATTTTAAACGAATACATACAAAATGCACCCATGAATTTTAAAATTTTGTAAAAAAAAAAAAAAAAAAAAATAATAATAAATAAAAATAAATAAATAAATAATAATGAAATAATGATAATAAATAAATAATAAATACTTTTTCAATGCCTTTCTTTCCGTTACTTTTATTTCAAAGTGATTATTGTCTTAAATCGTGGTTGAAATATTAAAACAAATAAATGGCAATAATTAAAATAGACTCCCCTGGCAATTTAAAACTTGAGGAATCTGTGAAGTCATGGTACATGTACAAATATCAGTCAGAGCTCTTACTCTTAACAAGAGGCCCATGGGTCACATCGCTCACCTGAGTAACTTGGGTGATGCAGATCTTTTTTAAAGATTTGTTCTATATATATTTCTATGTAAAACTTGGATTCCCTATTGTGGCCCCGCCCTACCCCTGGGGGTCATGATTTTAATAATTTAATATCTACACTACCCAAGGATGCTTCCACATAAGTTTCAGCTCTCCTGGACTAGTGGTTCTTGAGAAGAAGATTTTTAAAGATTTGTTCTATATATTTCTATGTAAAACTTGGAGTCCTTATTCTGGCCCCGCCCTACCCCCGGGGGTCATGATTTTAACAATTTCATATCTACACTACCCAAGGATGCATCCACATAAGTTTCAGCTTTCCTGGTCCAGTGGTTCTTGAGGAGAAGAATTTTAAAGATTTGTTCTATATATTTATCTATGTAAAACTTGGATTCCCTATTGTGGCCCTGCCCTACCCCCGGGGGGTCATAATTTTAACAATTTAATATCTACACTACCCAAGGATGCTTCCATATAAGTTTCAGCTTTCCTGGCCCAGTGGTTCTTAAGAAGAAGTTTTTAAAGATTTGTTCTATATATTTCTATGTATTTCTATGTAAAACTTGGGTTTCCTATTGTGGCAACGCCCTGCCCCCAGGGCTCATGATTTTAAGAATTTAATATCTACACTACCCCAGGATGCTCCCACATAAGTTTCAGCTTTCCTGGCCCAGTGGTTCTTGAGAAGAAGAATTTTAAAGATTTGTTCTATATATTTCTTTGTAAAACTTGGATTCCCTATTGTGGCCCCGCCCTACCCCCAGGGGTCATGATTTTAACAATTTAATATTTACACTATCCCAGGATGCTTTCATATAAGTTTCAGTTTTCCTGGTCCAGTGGTTCTTGAGAAGAAGATATTTTAATGACCCAACCCTATTTTTGTATTTTCTTGATTATCTCCTCTTGGAAGGGGTCTTGGCCCTTGATTTTAACAATTTAAATTCCCCTTCACCCAAGAATGCTTTGTATCAAGTTTGGTTAAAATTGGCTGAGTGGTTCTTGAGAAGAAGTTGAAAATGTGAAAAGTTTTCAGACGGACAACGGGTGATCAGAAAAGCTCACTTGAGCTTTCAGCTCAGGTGAGCTAAAAACTATAGTACTGCACTTTCAGTTTTATGCAGTTTGTTAAAACATGTATACCTTTGCCGTGTTCCAGTCTTTTTTATCTGTAAAGAATCTGTAACAATTCATTGCATATTCTTCCCATCCTTCGGGGCAATCTATGATATCAGAAAAAAGTATGGATGTCAATAATTGATATTCGAATATTCGATAGGAGTATTCGAATATATTCGAATATTCGATAAAATAAATACATTTTGGATTATTTAAAATATATATCTTCACTCTCCTGTCAAGCAGTATAGGTTTATGCCATTATTTAAGAATCAAATTTCGTGTAGAGTTCGGAAAATGCACTACAATTTTATATATATTTTAAAATTATTGAATAGTATACATCCAAAATGTTATGACTGATTTTTGAAAATTCAAAAAATTCTTTAAAATGTTCCAGATTTATTTATCGTCTTACTAAAGTCTTCACTGATAACTCCTACAAATTTATACCAAGCAGATCAATTATCTAACGGTGAAATATTAAAAGCAATTACTTTTCGCTAATTATAATTTCCTGATAATGATTTAAATGATATTTACAAAAACAAACAGTTTACTGTAAAAATGGTTCCTTACAATAATACAAGCTGATTGTTAGTACTGAAAACTATTATCCTGCTAATTAAGTGAACAAATAAATAAATTACTCTAATAGATACACTCTTCACACCTTCAAGGTAATCCAAGAGGGATGTTTTTTTAATATTGTACAAACTTGATTCAATTTTTAATAAAACTCGCCTGGTTTTTCTCTCTTTTTAATGCTTGTATACTTAAAAACGAATATTCGAATCACAAATTTATATTCGAATATCAACTCATCGGATGAATATTCGAATATTCGAATATTTGTTGACATCCCTAGACTCAAAAAAGGGTTTACAAATAGCAATACTTCTCTATACTTGCATTTCAGGTTTCAAGTTCACAATCTGATTGTATACACAAGTACTCTGAAGTTGAGATAGACAAGATGCTTGCGGTTCTGATTGCCAATATCAGTGAGGTTTTTGGTGAACAGGTCTTTCAACAATCTATTGGAATTCCCATGGGTACGAATTGCACCCCGATATTAGCATATGAAGCAGAATTTGCCCAAAGTCTTATATGTGAAAAGAAGAAAAACACTTGATATGGCCTTCAACTTGACATTAAGATACATGTATATTATCATTTAACAACGGATATGTCCATTCTTATGTCGAGACGATTTATAGCGGTGATCTTGAAATCAAACATACCACATAGTCTGACATATGTTTCATTGGTTATTTTACTACCAAGATTTATCATAAACGTGATGACTTTAACTTTTTAATCGCCTATTTTAATACTTCCGCAGCAATGTATTTGGAACATTCTCAAAAATGTGTGACAAACTTGTGAACATTGGAAGCACCCAGAACAATGAGAGTTTTAACAGGACTGTGGCCTCCAAGAATCCAAAATCTCATTTTTACGGTGGATCGGAAAGTACAGCTTTCAGGGTAGCTTCAGCTGTAGCCCAGAGAAATGATGGAGCAGGTTTTATATCAAAGGTATGTTGTTTATTTTTATTAAGTATACAAGTAAAAATTTAAATATTTTTTGCATATATTGAGTTATATTTTCATAATTTCATACACAATGGAATTGTGTTTGTTTTCAGTATGTAGTTTTTGTTCATTTAAAGGTGTACGAGAATTTGCTTTTGTCACCCGGAGAAAACACTGCTCGGTACATAGAGAAAGAGAATAGGAAGAGAGAGTACCATAGACAGCAGAAACAGAGTATTAAGTACAAGAAAAGACGCAGAGAGCTTAAATGTACAATGACTCAACAGGTATATTTCAGTATTATTGATCAGTTCAGGATTTGTAGTCATGTCTAAGATAGGGTTTTGATATTTCTTCTTCTATTCATTAAAGGTTTCAACATCAGAAATAAAAGAAGGAGCTACATATCAGCCTGCGGTAGACCTCGAACCCTCTGATATGTTGACTGAAGAGATACCGTCACAGCTCCAGCCACCAACTAGTAGTGCTCACATTGTACAGGAGGCTAAAAATACTTTCCTCTACTTCGACTTAGAGACAACTGGTTTAGGTATTATCACCTTTATAAAATAGTCTTATTGTTCATCAGATATTAATTTTTATAATCATAAACTTTTATTTCCTTATGTGTGAGTATTACACAAAGGTATGCATTTACCATTTCACATAGTGAGCAATGTAATTCTTATAGCTTATATCAATCATTGTATAATTAAATACTTTATAATTCTTCAGGCACAGAATCCAGCATAGTGGAACTTGCTTGTGTCTACAAGGATAACATCTTTCACAGGTACGTTCTACCAGATGCACCTATTCATCCAAAGGCGACAGCAGTGACTGGTTTGCATATGGCAAGCGGAAAGTTGTTTCACAAGAAAAATCCAGTTGATGCTATTGACATTAAGAAATGTTTGTCTGAATTTCTTAACTGGTTGAAATCATTTCATAATCCATTACTTGTCTGCCATAATGGGAAATGCTTTGATTCAGTTATTCTTGTTAAAGCTTTCTTAAAACATCCAGAGTGTGGAGTTTTACAAGAAACTATTAGTGGATTTATTGATAGTTTACATGTCTTTAAAGAATTTTTGCCAGGGAGATGTACATATAGACTTGAATCCCTAGTTTCAGAAACAATGGGAGTGTCTTATGAGGCACATTCAGCAACTGAAGATGTTAAGATTCTACAGGCATTAGTGAACCATCACAAATTGACTGAAGACACTCTTTTTAAACACAGTTTTGATGTAAATTATGTACAGAATTCCATTGATTTTAAGCTGAAGTCAGATGAATGTTTGATCTCATTGCACCCTTTGCAGCATTGCATATCTGATTATATGTTGAAAAAGGTAGCACATTCTGGTTTGAACTACAATCATTTGAAGCTTGCTTTTCAGAGAGGTGGTGCAGAGGGTATAGAAAATATTTTAGGAGAAAAGGCTGCAGATGGAAAGGTCCGAGTTACTCGCACCAAATCTGTTGTTGCTAAAATTGTTGACCATTTTTGTGCCATATAAGATGTATATAATATGTTTTTTTAATTTATGTTTCAAAACCTTTCATGATTTTCCAGAGTTGTGTGCCATCCTTAAGCTTGGTAATGTATGGTATATGAATGTAAGTATTTCTTCTTTGCTCTGTGTACCGACTGGTAATTACTGTAAGTATATTCTGTGTTGTGTCATTGTTTTTACTATATGTGTGTCTGTGTCACTGTCCATGTTGTGTGCTTTATAATTCTGCTTCATCCTTCTCTCTTTTTATGTTTTTTTTGTGATGTGAGTATATTTTTTTTTATTTTTGTATGTTTTCATTTTTAATTTATTTTTCTGTTTGTTTTATTTCTTCCTTTCTTGTGCAAGCTGAAATAATTTATATTCTTATTATAGATGTTTATAGATTATTTTATTATTATTTATGAAATATTTTTTATCTTGTACATTTTCTTCACATAGTTTGATAAGTTTCTATTAAAGTTCCCATCCTTTAATTTTTCTTTTATTAAACTTCATTGCTGAGAACAATAACTTAAAGCATTCAAGCAGTAATTTCTGATTAATAATGTTTTTCTTAATGTAAATACATATTATGTACATACATTTCTGAAATTTCACCCAGTGTATTTCAACCCTTGGTAATTAAAGAAGGATAACTCTTATATTAGGATCTTTTAATCCAGAAAAAATTAAAGACATAAAATATTCTTCATTTTCAAATATTTTTTCAATTTCTTTATAACAGTTTGTTAACATATATATGCACATTGTTCTTGTAGATTTCCATGGAATATTATCCGTTTGTTTTCAAGAAATGAAGTTTTTCCAGTTTTATGTCTATTTTTTTGGCAAATAAAAAAAAATATATGACCCATATTTTGGTCTTTCTTGTTTATTATATCAACACTATATGTGTCAACTTTTATCTAAAATTTTAGACTTAAGGAAAAAAGAAGAATTTTATAAAAAATGAGTTTTGTGTTTTTCTTATAAATTAATTAAAATTATATTTTGTCATATTGAAAGGTAGGAGTATTTCAAACCCTTAAAATTTATGCAAATAAATGTGTAGGAGAAAGTTCCTCTGGTATCCCATACCACCTTAACATCTCTCAGTTGAGAGCATGCTCTACGTATGAACAATTTCTAAAACGAGGTAAATTATTGACAGATAAGTTGCTGAAACAAGAATATCAGCAGTCTCGTTTAAAGTCATCATAACGTATGTTCTATGGTGGATACAATGACCTTTAAATACAAGTTATCAACGAGTCAAATGCTGACTGACTTTTTTCAAACTTTTAGTTTTAAAGATCATTATACGTGCTTAATTGTCGACGGATTTTTCTGTTAATTCCAATTATGACTAGGAGCACACGTGGCGGATGTGACCAGTCGGCAGGGATGCTCACTTCTCCATAGCACCTTATCCCACCTCTGATGTTTTGGAGGTCCTTGTTTGCTCTGCTTCCGATTTGTAGCGTTAACAGACTTTGAGCTTGAATACTGTTTGTTATCTCCATATATTTCATTATAGCCAAGTTGTAATCTGTGTAAAGGTGGAAAGTGATTGTTTGCATTCTCCAGGTAACCTCATATCATATTCCTTGTATGTTTTGTTTCTTTTTAAAACAATTAAGCATTTAAATAATATCTTGAATTATCATGCTAATATAAGATATTGAGTTGAAGATTAGACCCAGGAAAATACCTTTCTTTGAAATATAAGCTTAAAGATAATGTTATATAAACATTACTTACCAACGAACATTTCGAAGTAAGACCAACATTTCTCATCTGAGATTTCGGAAGACCCGACCATTTGCAAAGCATACAACATGAGACATTGCTTTGATTTAATGTTGAACAGAAACGCAATGCAGTTTACAGTTTGACTGCATACAGCTGCACACATTATTTCATTTACTACTAAAGTAGAAAATAAAGTCTCTTTTATTGTTTGAGCCTCGTCTTCGGTAAAATCAAATCGCTTTCTGTATGTAAGTTCTGATTTCATGGATAAAACACATACACATGTATTCAAAATTAAGAGATAACTTTCCGTAGTTTGACATTCTGGCTTGCAATGCTACACTGTGTTGAAGCCCTTTACAAGCGCATGTACATAAATTATGTATATTCCCAATTTCTAACAATTTCTTTCTCAGATTAAATTTCTTGCTTTGAAGTTAACAAATCTGATTTCTAATTAACTTAATATATAGAATGGAATAATTTCGAAAACCCTATGAGAGATATTGTCTAGTCATCAAATATTTATCATGTAAATTAAAAAATACATGTTTTCCGATAGTTTATGACGATGAAGCGGCTTTGATTTTAACTATAATCAAAGGATTTTCTGTTTCAGCTACACGCTTGATTTATTTTTCATAGCTATCAATTATTTATATTTTCACTATAATGTTTTCTCTATGTTCGTAACTTATTGGGAAAACAATATTCTTAATCTATAAGAAAAGTAGAAGTGAAGTCATCTATAAGACTCAATTTAAGTTCTTAGTACAGTATTCTTTTTAAAGATTTCTTTTTCAGCTTTTGATCCTTAAGTCAATATATAGCTATAGACATCTTCTTTCAAAACAAAAATATTGCAAAATCTTAATTACAGATACATACGAGACGCTGTATTGGATAACTCGTTGCTACACTCGTTGACATTAGCTGAATTTCGATCCCATGCATATTCTAACAGTGAATGAAAGCTGTGTAAATTTCAGTCGCATATGTCATGTATGTAGTTTAAATTTATGTAACGCCTAGAAAGCCACACCTTACTGAAAGTCCAATTGAGAATTGTACTAAATGTTCGGTGTGATTTGAAGTGGGTAGTATTCATCTTGAAACCATTTTTACAGTAAATAAATTTCTTACTTTTTATGTTGAATTTTGACCTTTTCAAGCAAAATCTTATGTTCTACAATAATTAGATTATCTCTACATTTACATCCAAGGAAAGCATTTTAGTGGTTTAGTAGTGACTTTGATAACATGTCAAAAAGTTCAATGCGCTTTATTACAATTATGCAAAATAATCAACGTATTATATGTTGTGTAAAGAACCTCAGTAGCCAATAATATTTTGTGCAGTAAAAGAAGAACGTTAAGGTTTCGTCAAAGGTCAACATGTCCAAAAATTTATTTTTACAATAACTCCAAAACTATGTGAGGTATAAAGTTAAAACTTTTACAGCTTACAAAATTTTCATTCATTAACAGATAGAAAGTATAACTTGATGAAAAAAAATACTTGGAAAAAATATTTAAATTAAGAAAACTTCTTTTTTAAAATGCATATTTTTTTTCAGAAAATGCACCTAATTAATTCCATGCTTTTAGTGAAAACAATCACTGCAGAAACAAAATATTTCTATCAATGAAGGGCAAGTTGGACTTGGATAGCCTCTGGAAAGTTGTTTTCCTTGTTTATTTTGTCCATTCATATTAAGACTTGAAAGCGAATGTACATTGCTTATGGCGGGTTCTACAGGGTCTTGTCTTTATATGCATGCCATGTATTCAATAACAGCCTTTCAGAGACAATCCACGTCCCACTTGCCCTTCAATGATACAGTAAACATATATTACATCTGCAATGATGGTTTTCACAAAAAGGACAGAATTACTTGTAAGCAGGTGCATTTCTCTTTAATTATGCACATTTTCTAATACAATTTCTTCTCAAAAATATCTTTATAAAATATTTGTTATCAAGTGATACTTTCTATCTATTAATCAATGATATATTTATAAACTGTAAACATTTTGACTTTATACCACACATAGTTTCGGAGCTATTGTAAAAATAATTTTTTAAACATGTTGACCTTTGACGAAACCTTAACAATATTTTAGTGAAAATAAATGTCTTTATCAGGATGTGGAGAAAGATTTCTATTTTTTTCTTTCAGAGGATCATACATTTTGAGGAATGAGTTTAAAAACCATTAACATGCAATTATTTGTATGCACTTCACATAATCACTGTTGATCTTCGGTTTCTCGAATACCGGTATCTCGAATTTGATGTTAACCAATTTTCCTTATTTTTCTCAAATTTTGCTTACTATAGAATCTTCGGATACTTGTTTGGTTTTTTTTTTCGTTTTTTGACTGCAAGTAGCGATAACGAAGTTTGGTCGATATAAATATTTCGATAAATCTAATTATTATTTATCAGTCATTGGTGCTAAGAATTTTTATAATTCTTATTTTTTCACCTAGTGCTTCCAGCCTCAAAATCTCTGTTCTAATAGGAGAACAGGCCTGTGTATGATCGTGTAGACATACGTAGTACATCTACTAATTATTTCTGAAAATAATTAAATAAATAACCACCGTACTGCTACAATCGTTTTTTGTTAAATGTCAACATGATATAAAGAGAAAATAAAGATGAGGCGAGGAAAATTGCAAAAAGCAAAAAAAAAGGGGGGGTGATTGGTGATTTTGTTCAATAGCTGCTGAACATTAATTATAGATTTAATATAAATTAAAATGAGAAGGGGGTTTAAACACATATTAGGGAGGTGAGTATGTGTTTATTAAAATTTAGTTTCTAATTAAATTGAACACAAAAGGTATGGGTGTGAAATAATTTTGTGTTGCTACATTGTTTTTATTTAGCTTGAAAAATCGTTAAAAATTTCTGCTTACACCAATTAAAATTAATTTTTACATAATGTTTTAAAATTAGCAATAATACTGTACAAAGTAATAAGCATACAGGAATACTAAACTAGGCATTAAACACAATAATTCGCAAACAGATAAGTACATACATTGTTTGAATATCAACAGGTTATATGCATTTGTGTGTGCGTATATGTGAACTAAAATCAAAAATTTAATAAAGAAAATGACCAGGAATGAGTTAAGCCAAATTAAATTTAGAAATTTTGGTTTGTGCTATAGCATAATTATAATTTTAAAAGATGCTCAAAGGTCAAAAAGATGTCGGCTAAAATGCCAGTAATTTTGAGAGGGAACTTTCATTAGGTGCTAGTCCCAAAAGCAGTTTGTTCCGGTAAGGAATTGGCCATTTATTCTAGCAAGACAAACCTGTCCTCGCCATTTCCGGTAGATATGAACCTGTATGTTTCAAGTGTTTAAACCAAAAAAATGTATGTGTATAATATAAGTAAACTATCGTATCTAACATTAAATTAATTACGCTTGGCTAAGTTACTTACCTTTGACTTGCATCTTCTTCAATGGTTAAATACATTATGGCGATCGACTTGACAGGGCTGTCCGTAAACATGACGTCATTTCTCTATTGCATCAGTGAAGACTTAAAAATGCATTTTATTATCCCCTTGCAACAAAATTGGAATGGATATACAGTCTTATAGTAACGCAATCATAATTGAGTGTTTTTATTTGAACACCTTCCTTTTCAAAATGAAACTGACGTAATTCTCATCGGGATTGACGTTGAAAGCTACCTTGATTTATAGGTATGCACTTTGCGAGAGGATGTCCCTAGTTCTATAATTATTCAAGTTATTTGCAAATTAATAATTTGCAAGATTCCATCAAGATAGCACCATTTTCAGATACCGTATAGATAGAATTTTTAGCGAGGATTTAATTTTGGTACTATTAGCGAGGGTTCAGAGATCACAAAAATTAAATATCGCTAAAAATGTATTGGTTGAAAGTTGCTTGAGCTTCTTAAGTGAGCATTTCAAATTCGCTACAATTGCTTCTCGCTAAAATTAAAATATAAATTTTTAAGGTCAAATCGCTAAATTTGCGTCTCGCTAAAATTTCACTTACACGGAAACTTAATACTTGTTTTGAACATATTTTATTAATAAAATCATAAGGATGTGAAACAAGTTCTGTACAACTAACTATACGTTCCCCTTC